CTAATCCCTTTCAGATCAGCAATGGTCCATCCTAAGGCTTTCTTGTGCAATTTCAGCATATCCACAAGTTTCTTTTCTTGATGCAATTGTAGGGTAGATGAGATAATGACAGGCAATTTGCCTTCTTCTCCTAGAAAAGCATATTTCAAGTGGGATGGGAGTTGCATTAACTCCAACTCAGGTGGTGATTCTATGGATGGGGTGAAGTCTTTTTGCTCATTATTTTCAAGCAGCTCAAATGCTGCAGCATCCACTGGGACAACATCAGTTCCTATTTCCTTAATACTTTCATCTTCTATTTCCTCATCATACTCTCCTTCCAACTTAAGGTTTCTCTGAATTCCTTCTTCCAAACACATTTTCTCTATCTCAGTTATTCTTGAACACTCTTCTAAGTAATCAGGGTACTTTAGAGAGTTGAAGACATTAAAGGTGACTTTTTGGTCCTGGAGTCTCATAGTTAACGCTCCTTTCTGGACATCAATCAGGGTTCTTCCGGTGGCTAAGAAAGGTCTTCCTAAAATAATCGGAATTTCCTTATCGGCCTCAAAATCAAGTATGATAAAGTCTGCCAGAAATATGAACTTGTCAACCTGCACCAAAACATCTTCAATTTTCCCCTTAGGTTATGTTATGGACTTGTTAGCCAATTGGAGTGTGACGGTGGTGGGTCTAGCCTCTCCTATGCCTAAAGGTGTTAAAGACAGACAAAGGCATGAGGTTATTACTAGCTTCTAAGTCACATAGGGCTTTCCCTATCTCCTTCCCTCCTATTGAACAAGGAATGGTAAAACTCCCTGGATCTTTTAGCTTGGGGGTATGTTATTGGTCAAAAGCGCACTACATCCTTCAGTTAGGGCTACTGTCTCATACTCAATCAACTTCTTCTTCTTGCTTAAGATATCCTTCAGAAACTTAGCATAACTAGGCATTTGCTCAATTGCTTCAACAAGGGGTATGTTGATGTGCAATTCTTTAAACACATCCAAGAACTTYTTAAAATGCAATTCCTCTTTYTGATTCCTCAACCTTTGGGGGTARGGAACATAAGGAGGGATTGGTTTTATCACATTYTTGCTTGGAGGTGTTGAGCAAGATGGGTCTTGAATKYCCYGAGTCTTTGTGGTGCTCTTTAGTGGTTCTGGTGGAATCTTATTATCAAGCTTAGGGGTCTCTACAACCTCAGTCCCTTCTGACTTCTTCTGAGTCTCCTCTTGAAAAAGTAAAGGGAAGTCTGATCTAGGGGGAACAAGAGTAGTGGTCTTAGATGTTTGCTTTTCTAAAAGTGGGACCGGTCCTTCTTTGAGAGGGACCGACACTAGATCACTAGGTTTTGACAGTCTTGGTGTATTATCTTTCTGCACTTTTTCTGTCAACTCCTTTCCACTCCTAAGAGTTACTACTTTCACATGCTCCTTTCCTAGGTCTCTAGGGACTTCTGTATTACTGGGCAAGGTTCCATGGGCTCGACTATTCTGATTAAGTGCAAGTTGACTGACTTGAGTCTCTAAATTCCTGATGGCAGCACTTTGTTGATTAATCAAAGCTTGATTTTGGGCTTGAGCCTGCGCTAAAAGCCCTTTAATCATTGCTTCCAAAGAAGATGATGATTCTGCCTGTGGAGGAGGTTTGTTCTGAAAATGTGGTTGAGAATTTTGAAAACTTTGTTGGTGGTTCTGAGAGTTAAAACTGTTTGCATGATGCTGTGGTTGGAAATTAGAAGTTCGTTGTTGCTTATGGACTGGTGGATTAAGGCTGGGACTGGTCCAAGAAAAGTTCGGGTGCTGTCTCCAACTGGCATTATATGAGTTAGAGTAAGGATTTGATCTGTTTTGAACATAATTTACTGATTCAAAATTATGAGAACAATGTTCATATGAATGATCCCCACCACAGCACACACATTGCACAGATAGGACTGTTGGAACATATGTGTTAGCAGCTTGTTGCACTCCCTGACCAGAAGTTAAATTTTTCAATAAATTGGTCATGGACGTGAGCTGAGCTGTTAATGCAGTATATGCATCCACCTCATGTATTCCAACAGTCTTTTTCTATGGCTGGGCACGTGGGTCAGCCCAATGCCCATTGTTTGCTGATATCTTTTCTAGGATCTCATATCCCTCATTATAGGTACTGGCTGTAAAGGCTCCGCCTGCAGTCGCATCGAGCATTTGTTTTTCCATGGGACTTAACCCATTGTAAAACGTCTCAAGTTGAATACAGTACGGAATGCCATGGTGTGGGTATTTCCTTAACAGCTCTTTAAACCTTTTCCACACGTCAGGAACAGCTTCATCATCCAGTTGTTTAAAAAGACAGATTTCGTTTCTGGACTTAGCGTTCCTTGTTGGTGGGAAATATTTTCGCAAAAACATTTCCGCCATGTTACCTCATGACGGCACAAATCCTGGTGTTAAAGAGTTAAACCATGCTTTTGCCCGATCCCGTAATGAAAATGGAAATAAAGTAAGTCTGAGAGCATCATTTGACACTCCCGGGATCAGGAAGGCATCTGTGATTTCCATAAAATACTTTAAATGAGAATGTGGGTCTTCTGAGGGCAGTCCAGCAAATTGGCCATTAGTCTGTAACATATGAAACATTATCGGTTTTAGCTCGAAATGGAGAGCGGTCATATGTGGTCTAACTATCCCAAAATTTAATTGCTCAAAATCCGGGATAGCATAATCCATGATCCGTCCATTTTTGGAATTTACCAGATTAATGATGTTCGGAGTTTGTGCCCTTTGTTGCTCATTAGGGTCCGATTCTGTGTCCAAATTATTATCATTTTCATGATGTGGGTTTCCTTGGTGAAAAATTGGGAACAGTGGTATTTGTCCAAAAATTGGTGGTTGGTTTCCAAATGTGGTACTTTCGGAATGTTGGGAGCAGGTAACTCCATGTTGGGAGGGAGTAGAGCCTGAAATGCTTTCTAAGCCCTCCTTCTATGGTGAAACGTTCTCTCAAAGTCTGGATCAAATTCGAAAAATTCTCTGCGATGTGTTCTTGGCATAAACCACTTTTCAAAAACAGGTACTAGAAAAATCAAATCTTTTACTTACTCAAAAGAAAACTTTCAGCTTGCCAGCCCCCGACAACGGCGCCAAAAACTTGGTCGGTCAAATCCTTTACCTTTAGACTTAATGAAATTGGGCCACAAAGCAAGTATACAATATGGCCCAATGTCATCTTTCCAAGTAATAAAGTGGTACAAATACCGAAATATCATCCACAGGGATTGGAGCAAAAGTTAAATAAGAGTTCAATAAAAGAAAAGATTTCAGATGACGAAAACGAAGACTTTAGTTTGAATCCAAGTTAACACAGGTAATATAACTGAATAATAAAGCAGAATAATAAAGGTAGCACGGGTGTAAGATTTGGKGTGAAACGTAAACACGAAATCCAGCAGACAAAGCTGTGGAAGAACCAGTCCCACCATTTATCTTGAAGGTAATCCTCTCAGACTTCACCTTTGCACTATATTATGGTTTTGCACACATATCTCTATGTGGTGTTCGGA